ATGCCCTTGGCTCCCGTGGAGGGAGGAAGTCCAGGAGAAAGGTCCCTTGCCTCTCCTTCTGGTTGTCCTTCTTGCCCTTCTCCCCCCCAACCCCCGGTACAGCTGGTCTTTCTCCTTGTTCATTACCAACCAGCTTGGATTTCAGAAAGCACCAAAGGAATCTGAGACCCCTGAGGTTGAACACGAGGCTAGGCCATGCCCCATTTAAGGAACTTTGGTTATAAAAAAATAAGTTGCCCATTAGGACATGATCTGTCCTATGTCCCTTGGATGGGTGTGTTGGGTTCCCTGGTGGATGAGTGGGCAGGGGACCCACTCTTGAACAGTGATGTGAATACCCAATGGCAAACCAATCATATCTTCCTCCTTCAATAACACAGAAGTGGCATTAACACAACTTGGGTTTTTCATTATGGCCAAGGGAAAAGAACAGTAACTATCTTCATGCAGCTGTCTAGACCACAATTTCACACCTTTAGCAAGTATGAGAGTGAGCCCTGTGCTTTAAGGCAAGCTTAAAGCTCCTCCTGTTAAACCCAGGGTTCAACAATAATAGTTCTGAAAACAAAACCAACAAGCAAAAAATTAAAAACAAAACAAAAAACCCAACCATCCCCAAACCCCCAAATCCAAACCCAAATAAAACCCTAAAAACAATAAAATCAGGGGGAAGGAGATTCCAGGACAAAAATGCTAAATCATTGGTTTACCATACCTGGCCTAGCAAAAGAAGTGCCACAGTGATGGATGAGGGATTGAGTAGAGGGAGAGAGGACCAGCTAACTTAGACTTCCTCATTCTTAATGACCCATGTTTCATTCAGGATGATGCTGGTGGCATGGGCTCCTCTTGGGGCTCCTCTGGGACCACGAGAGTCAAGGTTGCAGGGGAAAAAAAAACAAAACTCCTTGTTTTTGATTCCCAGGCAAGGGGGGGCGGGGGGGGGGGGGGGGATCTAGCAGCCAGCTCCTGGCCTCACACACAGGCAGGAGATTCTCCTCAAACCATTAAGTCTCATTCTTCTGAAATTTCCCCAGAGATGAGAACACAGCAGCCATTTGAAACAAAAAACAAATGTTAAAATCACAGCCTAATTATTATATTGGGGAGGGGGGGTTGGGGGGTTCTGTCTAGCTGGGTTCAGGGAGCAGTTAAGATGCTTTGAGTTATGGCTTATAAGCCCGTCTTTCCACCGACCAGTATCTCTCATCAAGTTTTCCTCACTTTCTTTGGTGCTCCCACTGGCAGGAGCCAACTCTTACTTGCCTATAGTCACGTCTGACCCCTCTCCAGGATTTCTCACGTACTGCTCCTTTTGTCTCCTCTGCTTGTCAGGTACACTGAGGTTCAGAGACAATGTGCTTTTTGTATCTCTCCAGGTGCCTGCTTTTCTAGACTCAGAGCTATGACGGTGCTATCAGACTCTTCTTCCTCCTAAGGCTGTGCCCTGGAGATGGAACCCAGGGATGTTTATGGCTGGGCCCAGTTCTCTGCCTCCTGGAAAACACCCCTTCTCAGGAGACTGGGATCTAATGGCTTCTTTCTACCTTGTACGCTAGTGTCTGCTACTGAACAGTGATGCAATGATTATCTACCCCACCCCTACCCTCCTCCCCCTCCCCCAATCCCTCCACAAGGGCTCTTTGAGTCACTTAAACAGGTACAAAACTCCCGAGATCAAAGGGTAAGAGAATAATGCCAACTCACAAGAACAAAAAGAGGGTGGGGGCAGCTAGGTGGAACAGTGAATAGAGCACTGGCCCTGGAGTCAGGAGGACCTGGGTTCAAATCCGGCCCCAGACCAAACACTTGACACTTATGAGCTGTGTGACCCTGGGCAAGTCACTTAACCCCAACCGCCTAACCCCCCCAAAAAAAAGTTTAAAAAAAAAAGAACAAAAAGAGGGGTTATGTTTCATAGCTGAAGGTCCCTGTAGCTACACGTTTTCCTTCCTAAAGGTGCCCAACACAAGTCTCAGAACTCTGAGAGCAGGGGTCAACACTGGGCTAAGAAGAAGGGCATTGGCTCTCACTGGTGTCCAGTGGCTTGCCCCACCAAGAAACCTCAGCCTTTCTTGCTCAGCCAGAGTAGTAATACCCACAGCTGACGAGGATGGTTAACAGGATGAGGTGGGCACAGAGTACTTCTGAAAGAGAACAGAAGCAAAAGGCTGGATGGCAAAAAAAGACATCCTTTGGCTCTTCTCTGATGGAAAAGCCAAGTGGTCTAGTGTGGGTAATTGCCATGGACCTTCTGTCACTGTTCTGAGAGCCTAGGTGCTTTCTTTGCCTCACCACTAACTAATCTGAGCACGAGAAATGAAGAATACCACAGAGACCTGGGTTTCTCTCATTGTTGTACCTTATAAATTGGGTCCCCACTGGAGCTGAGGGTCTCTTAGCAAAGAAGACCTGATAATGATAATGCTTCAGGAAATGCTTTACAAGTGGTAAACTCCTAGATGGTGGAAAGAGGTGCCTAGAGCAACCTTGTTGGGAAAGAGAGAAAAAGGGAGTGGGGATGGAAATGCCGGACCACTGTAACAAACCTGGGTATTTCACATCTCAACAAAACAAAACAGGCACAGAACATTTTTGTCCTGCAAATATAGTGGTTCTGTAAGAACTATCTATTTCAAACCACAGGCACCATTCTGTGGAGGACCTGAGAACAATTCCACCCTACAGCTTGTCCTTCAAGCCCTATGATCAAGTGACAGACATCTCATCAATCCCCAAGATCACAAAACTCTACGTAGAGCCTATGACAGGTCAAATGCCATGTTAGTGACCAAATGCTGAAGGAGTTGTCCAAATTCTTTGGCTGTGTTAAAATCTGGAACAACTGAATATTGCTGAGACTAAGATAGGAATGGGAGGTGAGGGGTGGGGATTGGCCAGGCCATGGCTATTTTTTGGCTGTGCCATACAATTTGTTGTAATGCCATTTGGCTTGTATGAGAACTCTAACTAAGAGACTCCGTTAAGATCTCTCCAGTTCCCAGTGTCAATTTCTGGGGAAGCAGAGGAAGGAAGAGAAAAACTCTCACCAAACCCCACCAATGAATTGTTTCCCTTTCACAGCCCTTTGGAGACTAAGACAGTTAGTTCACAAGAAGCAGCAACCTTTCCAAGGAAGAAAAAAAATACAAAGTGGAATTCACTTAATTTATCTCAAGAATGAGAGGGGGGCACTCTTCTTCAGTCCAGTCTAATCCCTGGATGTTGGTGGGGAAAAGCAGGGGATGAGGCAACAACGAGGTAAGACTGGTTGATTACTTTGAATTTCAAAACCAACATTTTCACTGCAGTACAGTTTCTAAGCTTCAGAGTGGTAGGGGCCAAAAACGTGTCCAAGAATCATACACAAAGTTCACTTCCCTGGGTGCAGCAGATAAGGGATACACTAGGGCAACTGACCACCCAGCTTGGGAGGGAAAAACACAGCAATCCCTCGCACTCCGCCCTCTCAGATCATCATCTCCTTTTAACAAATGATACAATCAACTCAAATGCAGAAACCACCAACCACCTGGATGACATACCCTAGATGGGAGGATTAGGGGAGGTTCCAGTGACAGGGGCTCCAAATCAAAGTGATCCCTCCTCTCCCTAAAGGTGATGATCTGGGCCTGGGGCTCTCAGGACCTCATTAACTTTCAACCAACCTCACGCCTCCTTGCTGGCACAATGGAGTGCTTAGAAGAAGGGAATCCAAGAATTTCTTAGTGGCAAATTAAAAACATGAGAAGAAAATGGGAATTCTACTTTCCCTCCTCATGGCATGAGGCCTTTAATTGTAGAGGTATCTCATGGTAAAATGGGGTAATGCATAAGTTACCGATGACACACTCCTTACCTAAGATGTTAGAATTTGTCTTTGCAAACAAGGCAAATGATACAAGAAACCATGTGGGGTCACCTTCTGAGAGGGCCAACAGCCCCAACTCTTTTCTCATATTAGTGATCACCCGAGGATGGTTACACCTCAACGTTGTTACCTTAAATATGCAGGTCAAAGACCATAAAGTACATAAGCCTTGAAAGACAGAGTTCTGAGCCTTCCTAGCCCATCTCTATCCAGTGAGTAAAAGGGGACCAAGTGGAGAACCAGCATCTGTAGGATCAGCCCAGATGGTCACTGCCAGTCGCTGAGTCCACAGACCTCAAATCTCCGTGTGTAGGGAAGGGAAACAAAAATTTCACAACTGGGAAGGACCCCAAAAATGATGTCGTCAAGTCAGGTTCAGCTTAAATACACTCCCGAAGGCGAAACTGGACTTTGGCGAGGAGTCTGCAGTGGCCCACAAGGCATTCAACCCTATTGCCTTGTACAGAGAGGATTCTGAATCAAACATCAGGAACCTTGGGGCTGACCAACTTGCACCCCCTGCTCTGAGGGTTTTGGTTAGCAGGGCCAAGGGCTAGATGAGGAGGGAAGCTGTGGGTCTGACATGCCACTGGACATGAACTCTGATCAACTCACAAGCCTCTAATGAGCTAGAACAATTCAGTGATGTGATGAGTAGTGTAATGCACTATAGGTATTTCAGTGAGACATTCCTGGTACTAGAGACAAATGAAGCAAAACAAACCAGGAGGGTATATTCTTTTCACTTACATTCAGAAGATATCCTAAGCCACATGCTTCCACCAGATGTGATGCTATGCTTGTGAAATCATGGAATCCTCTGCATCATTATGCCCCAACCCCCCACCCCGACCCGTTCACCCCCATGCCTTCAGAAGGAATACATCCTTTGGAGATCTGGACTATACAGGGAAGGCTTAAGAAAAATGTTAGGATGTCGGTTATACCACTGAGATGAGCTAGTTTACAGTGTGACTTGGGGAGGAGGGGCAAAGGGGAGGGAGGAAGGGAAAAGATTTTTTTTAAACCATAAACATAAGTTACAGACATTCAGTGCCTCCTAGAGGGTTCTAAATCAAACTTTAAAAACAAAAAAAAAAGACCAAAGAAAGGTTAAAACCCACTAAAATGTTTTTAAAAAAACTCAAAAAACTAAGGTGTGGAGACAGTTAACTAGAGTAACTACTTTTCTGAAAAGTTTTCTTCTCCATCTTATATTTAAAAAAGCACAAAGTCCTATTTGTTTCCATAATGTCTCCTTTCCTGATCTAAGAGATAGGTGTGTTTCTAGAATGCAGCTGCCTTTCTAACATGTGACAGATGTTAGGAAGGCGGCTGATCAATGCCCTGAAAATATACAAGGTAATTGGAGAAGCAAAGTCCAGTGCAGATATTGTCCACTTAATGCAGATACAAATATCCATGGCAAGACAGCCCTGAAGGGGAGAGGAGAAGGGAGGAAGGGAGAGGGAGGGGAGGAGAGAGGGATGGAGGGAGAAGGGAGGAGAAATCAAAGAAACTTCAAGTCACTTTTAGATCTCAGCTGCCTGAAGACTTTACGTCAGCCTCCTACTGGTCTGCACACCTGAAAATATGGAAAGTCTGTTTAAAAAAAACCCCTGATGGAGACAAGAAGCATTTTCCTGGTAAAGCACTCCCTTTCTCACATATACTCATCTTTCCTCACATACCCCATTTAATACAACATGTACACACAGACGTGTGTTCATGAGCACTGGGGCATTTATGTGTACACACATATGCGGTTTCTTTGTCTGTGTAAACAGACCCAAAGAACCACCTACCCACGTACACAATGTATGTGTATTTATCCATATGGTATGCGTACATATGTACATACACACGTGTGTGTTTTCACACACACTTATGTATATACACATAGAAAAAGCACTTAAGTTTCCAGGGGTATTTATAATGAGGTCCACAGTGTTTAGAACTTAAATTCCTTTTCTTTGATTGCGACAGTGTTTTATAGTTATTATTATTATTATTATTATTTTTAAACTAAAAGACAGTTTTAAAGCATATTGGACTTCAAAAACATGAGTTTGTTCATGTCTTCAGGACTAAGAAGTCGTCTCCTTTTAATGAGAAGTGCTTGCTCACACATATTTACACACTCACTCCTGGCCCCCACGGCAGGCACCGCAAGGAGCCAAAAGGCCAGTTTGGCCAGTTTCGTATGCTTTTGGGTAACACAAGACCAGTATTGAAAGAGGTCAGGGGTGGACTGGAAGAGAGGTTCCTGCAAATAATCATAAACTTCATTTTTCTCAAACCGGTCATCTTCCTGAGCTGTGGCGGCTTCACCGGCGGCCCGTGGCTTCTTGGTGGAAGGCTCAAAGTCCACTTCCTCAGTCCAGGACTCCTTCACCTCGTTGATGAGCTCGCACACTTTGCCGATAATCTCCTCGTGCTGGTAGGGTGGGACGGGCCGCAGCTTCTGCTGGGGGTCCAGGATCATGGCGACCTTGTGGGCCGAGTGCACCTTGAAGTTCTCCTTCAGGGCCTCCAGAAAGAGGTGGCAGAGCTTACTGACAACCCCGGCATCATTGGCCTTGGATGTGAAGAGCTTTTCCAGCTTGACGTAGGTGGGCAGCACCAGCTGCAAGGTGGGCCGGCTCTCGTGGCTCAGCTCGATCACCGCCTGCTTCACAGGGGCCAAGATGGCGGCCAGGTTGCTCAGGAGGTGCTTGTTGAGGTTCTGAATGAGGTTCATCTTCTTGGCACGGCTGTAGAACTCACAGATCTGCTCATAGCGCTCATGCACCAGCAGCAGAGAATCTGTCACCGAATTCCAGCAGGGCGGGGGCGAGGTCTCCTCCAGGGAGCCGAAGGTCTCCTTCGAGAGGCCTGTGGAGCCCGCCAGGTCTTCACAGACATTCAGCAGCTCAATAACCTCGTGCATGTTGCGGGCCTGCAGCGTTCGCTTGTTCAACACGCTCTGCACCACGGAGTTCAAGGCACAGGCTGAGCAGCGAAGGCACATGCCAGCCTTGGAGAAGGCAGATGAATTCACCCTGCAGTCTGTCACGTAGACCGTCCTGATCTCAGACATCACAAACTCCGACAGCACATTCTGGACCCAGTGGTGGATAAAGTCGCCGCTGTCCCGGATGTCCACGCCCTTGATGCCCAGGACGTAGCTCTTGATGTGGTTGCCCTCGGCCTGGTAGGCTGTCAGGATGTAGCAGGAATCGGGACCGATGCTCTGAGAGTGGCAGGTCACGCCGATGCCCAGGCAGGCATTGCTGCCCAGGGCACAGGTGACCTTCACCTTCACCTGGTTGTACATCCGAGGCAAGTGTTTCAAGGCCAGTGTGTTGAAGTTGCCAAGGATCTCAGTGACCGAGAAGGCGCCATAGCGGGCACCACTGTCCACCAGGGTCTGTGCCAGTTTGAGGAACTCCTTCCCGCTCACTACGCTCAGCGTGCCCAAGTCTGCGCACATCACGCGTAACAACCTCTCCGCGATGTTCTGCCGCTCCTTCTCTGGGATGGTGCTGTTGGGTGCTGAACCACTCACTGAAGCTACAGAAATGAAGGAGGGGGGACAAAGCAGAGAGTGATTATCCTAGCACAGGACACTTGGGATTTTGCTTATCATTCTGAGAAAACTTAAACTGATTTTCCTCTTCCTAAACATGACAACAACAACAACAATAGCTAATATTTATATAGCACCTACTATGTGCCAGGCACTATGCTAAGTGTTTTAAAAAATATTATCTCATTTGATCCTCACAACAACCTTGAGAGGTAGGTACTATCATGACCCCCATTTAACAGATGAGGAAATGGAGGCTGACAGAGGGGAAGTGACTGGCCCAAAGTCATTCAGCTAGTAAATGTCTGAAGCTGGATTTGAACTCAGATCTCCCTGAGTCCAGGTCCAAGCCTATTGGCTTCAACAGGCCTTGGTTTCTTCATCTATCAAATGGATGTGCTTTCTCTTCTCTCCTATGGAAAGCCAGGGGCCTAGAGGGAAAACAGCTGTGAGAACCCCTCGGAGCACTAGAGCGCTGTCCAGGGTGCTGGTAGAAGGTAGGGGCAGACAGAAGGATCCTGCTGCAGGGAGGCCCCCCTCACAACTTACTGTTGTTGGTGCTGTTTCTCTGGGGCTGCGGTTTCCACTTCTCTTCCACAACAGCGGGAGGCGACCGGGGCTGGTTGAAAGCGATGTTATTCTCATTGTCGGCTGTAAGACACAAAAGAGGGTGATGACTGAGCCTCAGTTCAGAAAGATGATTTCAAGCTCTGACCCCCATCAGGATCCAGGCTGCCAAGGCCAGATAACACCACTGAGGCAGTCTTCTAAAAACCCCATTAGGAAAGATGGTCTTCTTCATGACTTAAACCACAAGTTTATGTGTATGGGTGTGTGTGGTTCTCCCCACAATTAAAGTGACAGCCAGAGTCCACTGGCAGAAAAACTATAAAGCTGACTGCTGGCCCCTCCTTGGCAACTTTTTCCAAATGCTTTCCTGATCAGTCTTGCTCCAGCTCTACCACTAACTCACTATGTGACCCTGAGCAAGTCATTTCCCTTCTTTAGGCCTCAATTAAGTACTCTGACATCCTGTGTTATAAGGTCACTTTTAACTCGACATCCCATGTTCTAAGGTCTCTTCTAGCTCTGACGTTGTATTCCAAAGGCCCTTACAGCTCCAACATCCTGTGTTCTAAGGGCCCTTACAGCTCTGACATTCCGGGTACTAAGGACCCTTCTAGCTCTAACATCCTGTGTTCTAAGGCCCTCACTGCTCTGACATTCTGAGTTCTAAGGCCCCTTCTAGCTCTAACATCCTGTGTTCTAAGGGCCCTTAACAGCTCTGACATCCTGTGTCCTAAGTTCTCTTCTAACTCTGACATCCTGTGTTCTAAGGTGTTTTCTAGTTCTGACATCATGCTTAAGGTCCTTCCCTGCTCTAACATTCTGAACACTAAGGTCCCTTCCAGTTCTGAAATTGTGTTCCAACAGTCCTCCCAGGTCTAACACTCTGTTCCAAGGGCCCTTCTATATCTGGTATTCTATTTCCAAGGCCCCTTCTGGCCTTGACATTCTATGTTCCAAAGACTCTTCAGGCTTTGACATTTTAAGTACCAAGAAAGGTCCCTTGCAGCTGATATTTTACATCCTAAGACCCAACCAACTCTATCAATCTATGTTCAGAGTTCTTCCAGCTGACATTCAATATTTTATATTTTAAGATCTTTTCCCATAGTACAGTAGAAAATTCCCTAGCTCTGGAGTCAGAAGACCTGGGTTCAAATCTTATCTCTGATCTCACCACCTGTGTGACTTGTGCAAATCACTTATACTCCCCGGGCTTCAGTTTCCTTATGAAAAAGTTGCACCCAAGAGCCTTGAAGTGCCTTCTAGCTGTGATTTCAGGATCCCTTCCAACTCTGACGGTCTATGTTCTCAGTACCCCTTCCAGCTCTGGCACTCTATGAGTCATGTCCATGAACACACTTGCCACTGTCCATGGGAGGGCAGGACAAGAGCAGAAGGTTTCTGGATAGGAAACTGAGAAGGTAGTTTATTAGAGGGAATTACCCTCTGTGATTCAATACCAAGTTAATGAGATTTGTGTATTTGGGCTTGATCCTCCTTATCAGGCAGGTTGTGAACTGCACAGATCATGGCTCCTCAAACTCACTCAACGGCGCCAAGCCTTTAATCCCAGTTCAGCCTAGCCGTCCCTTTTATTCCTGTGCACTGGATTCCCGGGAAGGCATTATACAGTAGCACCAGACCTGAACAAAGCAGTCTAAAGGAAGTCAGAGCTGTATATTGTGCTGTATAATTACAGAATAAATTCTCCCCTCTTTGTATTTTGCTGTTCTAGCTCAGAAACTCAGGCACCAATCTGCATTTTAATTGCTTCTCTCCATTGTGTTGCTGTTTGGGGATGAGGATGCACTTATAATCTTCCCTAATTATGGTTTAGCCTCCAGAAGTCACTAAAGGAAGGGCTGGAAGGCTGACAACTCTTCTGTCAGGACCTGGAGTTCAGAGGATTTCATTATTCTCAAGAGGAGAGGAACCCAACCAGGAAGAGAACCACAACTGCTAATAATGATTTTTTAAAATAATAATGACAAAGTGCTTTACACATATTATCTCCTTTGATCCTTATAACAATCCTGTGAGTTTGGTGTAATTATCATCCCCATTTAACTGATCAGCAAACTAAGGCTGAGACAGGTCAAGTGATTGGCCAGGTTCATACAAGTCAATGAGCATTTATTAAGCTGCCACCATGTGCGAAGCATTGTGCTGGGTACTAGAGATACAGAGAAAGGCAAGAAAACAATCTGTGCTTTCAAGAAACTCAGTCTAGTGGGGGACATACAGCTATTAAATGTCTGAGGTAGGATTTCAAGACACCCAGACCCCAAATCCAGCACTGTCCTGTATTCCAACGAGTTACCCATTATTTAATCCTGGAGGGAAGATACTTTGGGCTCAAAGATTTAGGGCAATCTGCTAGGAACCTTACAGGTCATCTAGTCTCAGCCCCTTATTCTACAAATTAGGAGACTGAGACCCACAGAGGGTGGTTTGAGTTGCCCTTGGTCACATAGGGTTACTCACAGAGGGGCAGAGCTGGACATCTGAACTCTCTCTAGAACTATTCAAGGCTTTCCACAACCTTGTTTGTGTTACTCAGCTTCTCCAGGTTTCTCTTTCATTGTTCCCCAACATGCACCCTCTGTTCCAGGTTTCTGCTTATGACCAGCCTTTCATGTCTCCATGATTTTGATCGAAGTCAGGCCCCCTGCCTCTCTTCCCAGACAAATCTCCTGTGAACTTCCAGTAAGTCTTCCCTGACCAGCCCAGGGTTTCCTTTGCTTCTGAATTTCTTTAACGCTTCCTGTCTATCTCTATGCCTCATTTGACACTGAGCACATGATGCTTCCCATTATTAGTGGATTTTTTCAGGGCTATCTGATTTTTCCTACTAGATTGTAAGCAGAGACAAGGTTTCCCTCATCTTTGGAACCACCCCCACTCTCACCATCCAGAATCTAGCTGCTAGATTTAATAAAAGGATTTGTTCTATGAAGTTTGGATTCAGTCAAAGGGCCACACTTGAGGACCTAGAGGGCCACATGTGGCCCTGAGGACACAGGCTTCCCCCCGCCCCTGATTCTAGCACAACCCCCTGCTGCACAGAGTAGGTACTCTGGAAATACTAGTTGAATGATTCACTAACTGACCCAATTAGTGCATATTTTCACACACATAAATATCAAAGGAAAATTTTCAAAGGTCAGTTTCTCAAAGTTGCTTCCTCTTTCTAACTTTACCCATTCCCCCGAACAAAGTCCGTTTTGTGCAAGGCACAAGGCTGGTGCTGGGGCTGCAAAGGCCAAAATGATAAATACTCCGCTTCCTATAGGTAGCATATGTAGTCCTGGGGGAACACAATATGTACACAGATAAGTAAACACAACATCATCTGAGGAGAAAGAGCGCCCTAAACCCAGGGGGGCATGACAGGCGTGAGGTGGCATCTGACTCGAACCCCCGAAGGAAGCTAGGAATTCTAAGAGACAGAGAAGACCAGGGAGGGCATTTAAGGGATGAGAATCCTGTACAATGAGACAACACCAAGGTCAGGAAACGAGAAGAAGAGTGGTTTGGTTATGTGAAGGGGAATAATAGGAATTAAGTCTAAAAACTTGACTGGAGTTAAACTGTGAAGGATTTAAAAGCTCAGCTGATCTTCTGTGGTGGCAAAGAATAGGAAATAGAAGGAATGTCCATCAATTGGAGAATGGCTGAACAAGATATGGTATGTGAATATAATAGAACACTATTGTTCTGTAAGAAATGATGAGCAGGCAGACTGCAGAAAAACCTGGAAAGACTTACATGAACCGATACAAAGTGAAGTGAGCAGAACTAGGACATTGTACACAGGAACAGAGATATTGTACGATGGAGAACTGTGAATGGCTTGGCTCTTCTCAGCCAGAAAATGATCCAAGACAATCCCAAAGGATTCAAGACGAAAAGCGCTATCCGCCTCTAGAGAATGAAGCGATGTTGATTGAATACAGACTGAAGCAAACTATCTTTCTTTCTGTCTTGTTTTCTAGCACAAAATGACTAGTAAGGAAATGTTTTTACATGATTGCACATGTATAACCTTTATCAGATTGCTCATCATCTCAGGGAAGGAGAGGAGGGATAGACTTTGGAACTCAAAACTTTAAAAAAAAAAGAATGTTTAAAATTATTTTTACATGTAATTAGGAGAAAATAAAATATTATTTAAAAAATAAAGGACATGGGGAAAAATCCCAAGCTGATAAGACTGTTTTATCCTCTAAATAACAAAGAACTAGTGAATATTTTTGAGCAGGGGAGGGACATCACCAGATCCGTGCTTTGGTAAAATACTTTATTAACAACATGGACAACATCTTGCAGGTGGGAAGGAGGGAGAAAGAGAGAGAGGAGAAGAAAAAGATGAAGAAGAGAGAAAGAGAGAGAGAGAGACCATTCAGAGGCTATTATCATAATGATCCAGATAAGACGTAATGATAGTTTGAACTAGGGTGGCAGCTATGTAGGTGGAGAGCAGGGGACACAGACAAAAGATACTGTGGAGGAAGAACAGATGTTACCTGATCACTGACCAGCTGGAGAGGTAGGAGTGGGGAGAAGCGAAGAGTTTGAGGTTACAAACATGGAAGGTTTGTAAAGATGGATGATGACTGGAAGGACAGTGGAGAGAGGAGGATACAGCAAGAGATGTTGTGAAGGAAAAATACATACGACCTCTGAGGGGAGGGAGGGGAGGATGGTTAAGAGTTGGGGATAACTCTGAGATTATAAACTTGGGTGACTAGAAAGATGCTGGTGTCCTTGAGAGATACGAGGAAGTTACTTTGGGCACTCAAGCCATTAGCATCATAAAACTTCTGAACTTCAAGCACTGGAAATGACCTTCGAGAGCATCTAGTCTAAGTTCCTTAATTTACAAATGAAGAAACTGAGGCCCGGGGCAGTGAGTTGTCCATACAGTTGTCCAACCTACTCCTTTGGAATGAGACCTCTGGAAGCCTCTCCTTTGCTCCTGGCCCATGAGCAAGGCAGTTACATATTTCTCATCTGAACAGAAGCAAGAACACCCATATTCTGATTCTTGCTACCCACAATTAAATTCCAACACACCCAAGAACCTGTATTCTCATAACTCTTGGTCTCTGAATGACCTCTGACTCCCATTGCCCCACCCCTTGCTCCAGTACTTTGTAAGGAAAGCCTCCACTGCAGAAACATCAAATGATAGCCATGCCGACACCATGGCTAGTAATAACGCTCTGCAGCTCTACTCAGCATCCAGGCCACCACAATAGGACTCAGTTAGGTGGTGCAGTTGCCAGAATGTTGGGCCTGGAGTCAGGAAGATTTGAGTTCAAATCTGACCTCAGATATTTACTAGTGGTGTGCCGCTGGGAAAGTCACTTAACCCTCTTTGCCTCAGTTTTCTCATCTGTAAAAATGACCTGGACAAGGAAACAGCAAACCACTCCAGTATCTTTGCCAAGAAAACCCCAAATGGGGTGCCAAAGAGTTGGACATACTGAAAAACAACAACAAAGGATCAACTTACCTCAAATTCCTCTTCCTACCCACTGGATATTTATTTAACTGGAAAAATATCCATCTCCTGAGACCGGAGTGACCCCTGTCTCTTCCACACAAATGTGCACTACCCCTTACACAATATACCTACACTCACTTAGCATCATCACACAGTTTAAAAAAGACAATGATGATCCGTAACCTGTGATTTCATCAGTACAGGAATTTCCAGTGAAAAAACTCCCTCTACCGATACAGATGAGCAATTGCATATTGTATACCAATATTGCATATTGTATAATTGCCTGGGAGGCCCTAAGATGCTGAGAGACCTAGCCAGGGTCACACAGCCAGTGTGCACCAGAGGCTAGATCTGAACTGTGATCTGGGTTCTACAGCCAATGCTCTATTTACTATGCTACACTGCTTCTTATGTAATAGACACATTAGATGAATTACTTCCCATCTCCGGACTTCAGTCTCCTCATGTGTAAAATGACAAGGTTGAACCAGATGGTCTCTAAAGTACTAACACTGACTAATAGTGATTCTCTGAGGTGGGAGATAGGGAGAGTGCAGAAACCATGAAAAGAAACCGAGAAGAAGGGAAAAGGACAGTGAGAAGAAGAAGAAGAGAAAGAAAAAGAGGAAGAGTTAAAGACAAGGAGAATGCTGAAGAGTAGAAAGGATGAAAAGGAATGAGCAGAAAGCTTCCCAGGGGACATTTTCTTCTCCCTTCAAAGATTTTCCAAACCCTGAACATCCGCCTCTAAAGGATGCTTACTGACCCTCACCCACACTGCTCAGGGTATGAATGGGCTTCCAAGCAACCCGCCTGGGGACCTTTCCAACCCCCAGAACCAGCAACCCCATGGAAGGGCCATCCCTGGGTGCCTCTTGGTCCATTTCTCATAATGAAAAAAAAAGCAGAGATGAGCCACAGGAAGGGAAACAGAGCCACTGCACAGACTCGGTTTGGGTCTGTCCACAGAGGCTTGCTTTCCTCGCTAAGCCAAATGAAGGACTGGAGGGCAGACAGTCAGGTATTCATTTCTTGCCTGCCTGAACACAAATGGTCCAGAGTGACTTTCTAACCCCATCATGTACAGTCAAGAATCAGAGGGCTAGGGCAGTGAGGTGGCACAGTGGATAGAGTGCCAGACCTGGAGTCAGAAGGGTGTGAGTTCAAATCTGGCCTCAGATACTTAATACTTACTAGCTGTGTGATCCTGGGCAAGTCACTTAACCCCAACTCCCTTCCGCAACTCCCCCCCAAAAAAATAAGAGGGTAGTAGGCTGAGCTTGGGGGCAGAGGGGAAGCAGAAGAGAACCTGCCCCAGTAGCCTGGTGTGGAAATAGCCACAGGCCAGTATCTTTGACTTGGGGTAAGTTTCTAGTTCCTCAGAGGGCTAGTTTAATAGATCTTGCTTTTCTACTAGGATATTCTGAATCTGTTTACTGTGATCACTCAGTCCAAACTCAAGAGCCGTGATAATGATGGTTTCCTTCTTTCCTTTCTTTTTGTCCCTCTAGCTTTCTCTTCCTTCTTTCTTTCTTCCTTTCCTCTTCTTCCTTTTTCTTTCCTTTTCTCTTTTTCTTTCCTTCCCTCCCCTCTCCCTTTTCTTTCTCTTTCTTCCTTTCTCTTTCTTTTCTTTACTTGAAGACTGGGTGTCCCTATCTCGCCAGGGGGGTTCAGACAGTAGCCACCCATAGGCCCAACACCACCACTGACTGCACAGAAGCACTGATCTGTTTTGTCCTTTCTTAGGCAGCCTAGTGGCCTCCCCCTCCCAGAAGCTCATTATAGTGGGGCTGACTTAGTGTGAATACTTGATAGGTTCTGGCCCTCCTGCAGTTCAGAACTCCTGAGCTCAATCAGACCAGCAGCCTCAGTCTCCCCTAGTAGTAGGGATTACACATCTGTGCACTACACTCAACAACATAATGATGGCTTCCAAGATCACATGGAAGGCAGAGGGGTAGGGGAGGCAAGAAGATCGTTCCTGTGTGCAGTCTCTGAATCAAGAAGTGATGAGTGTTTAAAGGTTCTCACAGAGAGGGAAGGGAAAAGTAGCAACAGCCAGTCAGCGTGCAATGGATAAAAGAAACGTCATAGGTTGCTGACCCCCAGCACAAGGCTTTGGCATCTGCCCCTTCTGAAGAGAGGAGAATTGAATCTTAAGTGGTCCCTGGCTGGGGGAAGATGACCAATCAGGAGGTTTAGAGAACTACATCCTCCCCCCAAAACGACACTGTTGGAGGAGGAAGGGATCTATCTCACAGGGGCCATCCAACTAATGAAATGATGGTAGTTACTATTCTTAGGATGAATAAGCTGGGGAGAGTTCTAATTTAATATGCTCCTGACAAGTTCCACTCTTGCCTTTGCACCTTTCTCAGCAGTGAACTTAATTAGATGCACGATAAAGTCCCCCGGGAGTGTGAGGCTGGCACTCTCACCAGAATGTAGCCTGGTCCCTAACCTTCCCAGGAGGAAAGAGAGGGTGGAATTACTGGAGCCTCTGAAACCTCTGGCACAGGAAACCATTCAGGCCACTTGCCCAGGGCCACCATTACCAATCCAAACGTAATGTAATTATTAGCAGGACTGATTAACTTCACAAGCAGGCACCTCCAGGGTGAGATGAGAGACACAAGGCGGGAGGCCTACTCAAAAAATACTCATCCACCCTGCTGCCTGATATTTCACTCTTAAAAGAATACTCCTATGGATGTTGAAGAAGGTTTTTCAGTCTCCAAAAGGTGTCTACTAAAATAAAGCTACCTATGAGAGTAGTAGCATCATAATCCATTACCAGGAGTGTTGGGGGGAGAAGGAAGAAATGGCAGGGTGCTAACAGCCAGCTGAAAGCAGGGTCCTGGGCCAGGAAAATGGAAGGGAGAGGGAGAGACAAGACAAAGAGATTCCCAGGAATGAGAAGGTGAGAGTTCCTTTGCCCTGGGTCAGACTTCATTTGGTGAACTGTGTTTGGGTCTGAGCGCCACAGTTTAGGAGGACGTTGATAAACTGGCCAATATTCAGAAGAGGGTAATCAGAATGGTACAGGGCCCTGAGTCTATGTCACTTGAGGAACAGCAGAAGGAACTGGAGATGTTTAGCCTGGAGAAGATGCAGGGGGAACCGCGAGTGGTCTTCAAGTACCTGAAGGATTTGATTTAGGGGACAGAGCCAGGAACGACGGCTAGAAGCAAACTCAGGCTTAGTGTCAGGAAGAACTCCCTATCAGTCAGACCAGGCACCCAGAAGTAAAATGAGCTACCCAGAGAGGTCGAGGCTTCTCCTCTTTGGACACCTTTAGGCAAAATCTGCAAGACTATTTATCAAGTTACATTGTAGGAGACAGTTTTATGGGATAACTAGATGGATGCTAAGGTTTCTTCCAACTCTAAATTCTGAGATTCACTGATTTCACAATTTGGTCATGGATCAGACCGGAGTATTAGAGGTAGGTTGTGTGGTGCTATGTCCAGACCTGGGGCTTTGAGGCCAGAATTCAAGTTCTGACTTGATTAGACAAGCTCTAATGATAATCCTCCCCATCTGAATAGCTTGTTTCATAAAGTGCTTTCACATATATTATGATGGTTGCCCTGTGAGGTAAGGTAGGCCAGTATTATTATCCCATCTATAAGATGAGTAAAACTCAGGTCTAGAAGGGTCAAGTGACTTGCCCAAGTCATAGAGCAAGTGAATGGAAGAGACTCAGAACCAGAACCTTGATCTCCTAATTCCTAGGCCTGTGCTCTGCCTGCTATTCTTGGTTTGGATAAAAATCTCAGTTAGGCTGGTAGGGAGCGTTTCTAATGTGTGGTGGGCCTTCCCTCCCCCCACAGCGCAGGCTACCTCACAAGTAAATGCCAGCTGCCTTCGGGGGCACACACACCCTGGGTCCTTGGCCTCAGCTCTCCTTGCGAGTTGAGAGCAGGCCGGGCTCTCGGCCACCTACCCACCCAGGGCTTACCTGCATGGGACTGCATGTGCTCCAGGAGATTGTTATAAAACTGGAACTGGATCCCACAAGCGCCGCAGGTGTAAGGTTCTGTTTGGGAAAAACCATTTCAACCTGGTTACAATCAGCACAAGGCTGCGCAGTGCATATGTACATGCTGCTGTGTGCTGGCTGGCTCTGCGCAGAGCCCTGCACAAGCTGCCCTCGAGCACACCTCCACCTGGCTAGCACGCTTCCATCAGGCCCCTGTCCTGCTGCCTGCCTGCACCTGCTGTGCCTATGGCCTGCCAGACCTCTCCAGGAGAGAAGAGACACGTCCTGGGACATCCTCCTTTGTGATTCATCGTTCTTGTCCAACTTTTTTTTTTTTTTTAAGGAGGGAACTGATAAACTCTCTGAGATTATTTCTTTTCAACCTAAAAGTGACATATTTGGCTATGTCTTAGTGAGTACATGGCACCACGGGGAGAATTTTTTAAAATCACCAAGCTCAGGGAATGACTGAGGCCTTTGTTTACATTTCTGAAAGGAACTGATAGAAGAAGAAAAGGAAAGCAGAGGAGACCCCAGAAACCATTTCTAAGCTGTGGGAGATGCAAAGGCATGAGCAAGCAGCGAAACCAAAGAGCACCGTGTGCTCCTCAACTCTGCCTCTTCTTGGCAAACACCTTAGAGGCCTGAAGAGCCATGGGTTCAGCCCTCTGGGACTTCCACTGGGCCGGGACCGTTGACAGAACTGTGAAATTTCTCTCAGGGACTGACTGATGGAGATAAATGACAGGCAGGACTGCCATTTGGGGGAAGGGTAGGCCTTCTGGCTGTTTGGAAACCCATCCTTTCATTGAGAGAAGTCATCAGATGCCTCTGTAGCTTGCAAGGCATGCACCCTTAAAGACACCCCACACCTCTGCCCACGTAACATCTGCCAAGAACACGCTGTCCCATCCCTACCTGACATCCATCTCCTTCTATTTCCTGTACCCAATCTCTGTCCTTCCAGGCCTGGTTGGAATGCTGCCTTAGGATCAGACTAAGACGGTCAACCTCAAAGGCCATCTAGTCCAAACCCCTCCACCGTTACAGATGAAGAAATTGAGGTCCGGGGGAATGAAGGGGCTAGCCCAAGGTCACACAGGTAGTTAACAGTCCAAGGCGGGATTTGAACCCAGTGCTCTTTCCACTGTAGTGGGCTGCTTCTCTTCTCTCTTAGGCTGTCCTTGAGCATTCCTAGAAGGACATTATTTCTCACGCCTGCTTCCACTTGCCCATCTCTTGCAGTGCTTCCTACACAGAGGCCGGTATTATATCCTGGGATCAGATCAAGCACCTCCTCCTCTATGAAGCCTTCCCTGACCACCACCACCCAACTTCCAGTGATACCTCCATGAAATTAGCCTGAATGTAATGTATTTAGACTTGTGCACGTCATTTCCCCTGATAGAAGGTAAGCTCTTTTAGGGGGTGGGACTATGTCATTTTTTCTTTGTATTGTTACATCTGCCTGGCACATAGTAAATAATTAATACTTGCTGATTGTCTTATCTTGCCCCCTACCACTGCGTGCACACCCTGATGGCAGAGACTATGTATCTTACTCTTCTCCCCATCTTCCACACAACACCAAGCATGGGGCCTTTCATAGAGCAGTCAGACATTTGTTAAACTGACTCCTACACCTAAAGCCTAAATTTGAGGCAGAGGACCTGTGTTCCCTCCTCCTGGGTCCATTCTGCCCACCCTATAGGTCCTAAGACTGGGAGCTGCCAAAGAGGAAAAGGAGAAGAGATGGCAAAGGGGAAGAGAAAGAAGGAACAGGTGTGATGGGGAAGTCCAGACAATGAAATCGGTAATGGAAGAGATATCCAAGAAACTCCGTGTGATAACCAAGGGGATTACACTTGGGAGAGTAAGTTTACCAATCTCATTCTTGACCAAAAGCCCTCCGATCAATTTGGAAACAAGAAGCCTGAAGGGCTGGGGTAGCAACAAAACTCAAAGGTTAAGACAGACAGGTGATTACTTCCCGAAAATATACCTTTTGTTCCTGGCAGATGATAAACTCTGTAAGAGTCAAGGTCTGATTTCTGCTGCTCTATTCAGAAAGTGCTCTCTCTTCTCATCTAAAGCCCGTCAAATGCTGCCCTAGCCTCCCCCAAAAAGGATTGGACCAGAAGCCTTCTTGTTTGGGAATCTAAGCATAGTAAGCCCTCAAGTCACCTCTCAGCCCAACCTAAAGAATGCCCCCAACCCCCTAAAGGAAAAAAAAAACTAGACCAAGAGGTAAAGAGGGGAAAAGCAAATTCCTTCGCCCCCCCCCATCACACTCTGCCTGGTGTTATACTTATCTGTGCACATGTTACATTTGCTCAGTAGAATATAACCTTCTTGAGGGTAGGGGGTAGGTCACTTTTCATCTTTGTTCATCATCCAGTACCCAGAGAAGTGCCTAGCACATAGTAGGTACTTCATAAGCATTAGCTGAATTATAGGAGGTAGGGAGAGGAGGTAAGGGAAAAGAAGACAGATGGGAAGGGAGATGGGGAGAGACTAGAAGTGGGGTGGGGGAGAAAAAAGGAACAAAAGGGAGAGGTCAGACACCCAAACTGCAGGTCTCAGAGGCACAGAGGAAGTAAAAATCAAGTGAAGGACTGTGTTCCCAAAAGGATGATGGCTGGTCATTTAGGCCTAGACCTGGTCCTTGGTTTTCTTCCTGTCCCACCACTCCCCCTGGAGCTCAAAGGCCCAAGCCACCCCTCTGTAAGGCCCATGGAAGGTATAAGTGAAGCATCTGCTCGGGGAGGGTGGGAGCTCTGTCTCTGGTAGGCTCTATGCTACCAGACGAAGTCCTGGACATATAGTGGGGTGTTTGTTTAACGGCAAGTCAGCTTGCTGTAAATCACCAGCAAGGCTCGGTTTAAGAGCCGCAGGCAACTTGAGGAAAAGCAACATCTCCTGTAATACCAGGCCCTTCCACAATCCAGCCCAACTATCCCAGCCGCTGCAGCCCAAGCAAGTGCCTCCTATCAACCCAGATGACAGGCTTGGAGTTCAGGAAACTAGGTCATGTTTTTCAAGAGCTCCTAACCCAAGCTACAGATGTTTAGACAGTGCCCACACCATCCTTCCTCCCCGCAACCTTCCACAGGCTTCCCCTTCTCAGGCATTCCAGAGTGAAAACTGCTTCCCAAGAGAAACATTGCGACTGAGAAGACAGAGAAACCATGACTAGCATCAACCAAAAGAGCCTGGGCACCTTCTGATGCCCATCACTTACTCTGTAAGAGCGGGAATGGGTTGGAAATCAGGGGGCTTGCAGCTTCTGCAAATAAGAAACAGGTTTAGAGGAGAAAGACTCCAAAAGGCTTTTTTTGGGGGGGGGTGCATGAAGATGTGGCCCCTCCCACATCTCCAACCTTACCTCCCACTGGTCCCCACTATGCACCCTCTGCTGCAGCCAGGCTGCATGCCCACCCTTCAAGGATGTGCTGAAGCTCTTCGTCCCTCTCTAAAGATTTTCCTGGCTACTCCAGCCCACAGAGATCTCTCCCTTTTCTGGGATCAAGAAACCTCTGCTGTCTGTACCCCACAGTCCAGTGCCAAGATTATCTGTCTCATATTCCTCTCTAACTGACCTCTAAATGGGCAGAGACAAACTGTACCTCCCTAGTGTCCCACATCCTGGGACCACTGTTATCCAAACAGGCAGAAAGAGAAAGAGAAGACGTGGGATAGTAGAAAAAGTCAGGGCTCTGGGTCAGGAGACCTTAGGGTCCAAGTCTGGGCTCTACTATGAACCAGTGACCTTCATCGAGGTCTTTGTTTCCTCATCACTAAATAGGAAGCGATACACCCTGCCCGACTTCTCTGCATGAGGCCTAAGGAATCCTAAGAGATGTGAAAGGGCTTTGAAAAATTAAGATAATGAGATGCACTCTGCATTTTAAAACATTTTACAAATTATTTTATGGTTAAGGCCCAAGTGCGATGGGCCAGGGTTTGCAGTTTATGTTAGGGAGGTCTAAACCTGTGATTTTCTCAATGTGGAGAGCTCCTAGTGAAGAAACTTCTAGCCATGAAAATCAGCAACTGTTCTACAACTTATCATCTTGGAAAATTCCCTAGGGATGCCAAAAGTTTGCATGACTTGCCCAGGATCCCATGGCCTCTGTGTGTGTGAGTGTGAGGGTATGTGAGAGAGAGGAGGCACATGAACCCTAGTATGGCTGACTCTGAGATCAGCCTTATCTCCCCTACCCCACCATCTCACATTGGTCTGTGTGGATAAGGCCTGACTTCACCAGCTTACTTTGAGATTGACCTCAATGGAAGAAGTGGGGTTATTTTTTCCCATCACTATAATGGGATGAGTTTCCCTTGGTGTTCTTGGGGCTAACAGACTTTTTGAATGTGGCTGTATTCACAAGCTTCCCTTGGAAATGCAAAGAAGACAGGGCCAGAGGAACCCATCTCAGAGACTTGCTGGGTGGTCTTGGGACAAGCATGCTCTGTTGTGTGCCTGTAGGCTGCAAGTGCACCCAGGACCCGAAGCTACATGAGGGTTTAGGGGAAACTGCATGGTCCCTAGGGGGTAATGGTGAAGCAGGAAGGCCAATGGGAAAAGCTCTGTCTGCTTAGGGGCTTATACTCACCACTTGAGTTTTGAGAACTGCTGTTTGTTTCTTCAAAGTTGTTTTGTGCTTTGCTCTCGACTCTCCTACTGAAGGCGCTTTCTGCTGGGTAAGGAAGAGAGAGAGAAAAAAGAAAGGGAGAGAGAAAGGGAGAGGAAGGAAGGAGAGAGAGAAGAGAGGAGAGAGGAGAGAGAGAGAGAGAGAGAGAGACAGAGAGAGAGAGAGAGAGAGAGAGAGAGAGAGAGAGAGAAAGGATGGTGATTGGTCAGCATTGGTCTTTAAAGGAAGACGCTGAGAGGAAGAGAAGCAGGGGTCCTTGTGCCCCTTAAAACCCCAAAGTGGTAGCAAAGCCTTGGAATATGGACAGAGAGTGGGAAGGGCATGTGATCCATTAAATCACCACTGGTCTACAGAATAGTTCTTCAGCAGTCTCTCAACAAGATGCCAGATGGCTAGCAGGAATGCCATGGCACAACCATTCCATCTTGTGCTCATTTTCCAGTGGCCAGGTCTCAATGGATGTAGTAGTCCAGCTAAAGAGGCCTACATATGGATTCTGAATCTTAGAGGCAGACTAGTGGGCTGGATTTGGAGACACAAGGACTGGGTTCAAATCCTCTGCTAATTACTAGCCTTTAGCAAACTTTAACCAATCACTTAATTTCTCTGGCTCTCCATTTTCTCATCTGTAAAATGAGGGGGTTAAAGAAAAGACCAAAAGATTCTTTTCTGGCCTAGATTCATGATTCTATGATATAGAAGTAGTTGGTACAGAAAGAACACTGGACTATGGGTGATAAGACCTAGGATTCTCACTCCACCCTTGCAACTTAGAAGCTAGGTGACCTGGGAGAAGTAACTCAGCCTTCCATTGCCTCAATTCCCCCACATGTAAAATAAGGAGAAAAAAAATCACCTGTCCTACCTAAATTGAAAATCTTTTGATCTTTTAAAGTGCAAAACACTTTAAAAATGGCAACTTAGTACACAATAGAAATTATCATCTAATACATGCCATGCATTTGACAGATGAGGAAACTGAGGGCCAAAAAGGAGCCAGGATTCTCCCAGGGCCACATAGAGAGACGCCCAGAGAAGATCTGGGTCTTCCGATTCTCTGTCCAGAATGCTTTCCTGGGATGCCCCAGCTCTTCTCTGAAGAGACATTCCAAAGAGGAATCTGGCTTCAGTTGGAAAAATTTTGAAGGAGGCAGTGGAAGCGGGAGGAAGGAATGAGAAAGAGGGAAGGGCAATTGGCAAGTGGGTCCGCTAATTCTTCAGCACTGAGTTCTAAACTTGGCGAAACTTCTCAAGGATTCTAAGTTGAGCGGGCGCTAGGGCTGGAATCCCTGGGAGAGAGGAGGAAATACTGTATCCAGAGTAGCAACGGAATTATTGGCTCCAGCAGCTGAAGCCATTCCAATAGTTACCCCACGGAAGGAAAGGGAGTTTTCCTCGCGAACAAGGTGTGGCATGGGAAGGGGAGGTGTCCTCCCACTGGGTTTATTTAACACTCAGCTGCCAGGGAACTCAGACAACATTTCTTAATTCCTGTCCTCATCCCCACCCCACAACTAGTTGTGAAAACACGGTACAGTCCCTTCTGCTGTGGGCACTGAGAAAAGAATCAAAGAATGTCAGCGCTGGAAAGAACCTCGGGTATTATCATATCCAACCCCTTTGTTTTACAGATGAGGAAGTAACAGAGGCAGCTAGGTGGCACAGTAGATGAAGTGCTAGACCTGAATTCAGGAAGACCTGAGTTCAAATCTTACCTTGGATACTTATTTGGTATATGACCCATGGGCAAGTCACTTTACCTCTGTCTGCCTCAATTGCTTCAACTCTAAAGTGGGGATAAGAACAGCATCTACTTTCCAGGGTTATTGTAAGGATCAAATGAAAAAATATTTTTAAAGCACTTAACACAGTGCACATAGTAGGTCCTTCTTCCTGCCTTCTTCCCCACAACCCCCTTGTCTTATAGATGAGGAAGTACAGACTACAAAGGTTAAGACTCCCACCATCCATCAAAGCAACCATCAGGAACCTGCATTCCAAGGCACCCTGTTATACCTTCCCCTCCCCTTCATAGTCCCTTTTGCAATGGGACCCACATGAAAATCCCCATTCCTAGAAGGACTGTCCATAAAGGTCTTCAGGCCATGAGTTACACAGAATACCGTGGAGGAAAGGATACAGTAGGACTTTCCATAAATTTGTTGGGAACAGGGTGGAATAAAAAACTAATTTTGGGGGGGGGAGTGACCCACTCTCTATTGTAACTTCTGTGAAATCAAGATCAGCTGTAATCACTCCCTCTTCAAGAGTGGGGTGGGGTGTGGAGTGGTGCCTGAATGTATCGACGGCAAATTCTGATTCGATAAACATCCTGTTCTTACTGCCTCATTAATGAAGTGAACCTAGAGTGATTATGTAGGTAAAGAATAAAATTGGCCCTGAAACAAAAAAGATTATGGTTATGGAAGCCGTAACACTGATGCCAATCAAAGGGTAAGAAATCACCTGTAATTTCATTTTGACCAAATAAAGTTAGGAAAGGAAGAATTAAAATATCAACTGATTAAACAGATATCCATGGATATACAAACCCCTCTGGCCCAGCCCAGCAGTTAAATGAACTGACCCTCTTTTAGACTAAACATCTGGATTTCCTTTCTCAAGGGCCCAGTCATCTTCAATCCAGCCCATGAGAGAGCTGACAGTGCATACAACTCAATCCACCTTAGTTGGTCATGTCACAGCTGACCAGCAAGCTCAGCCCACTGACCTACCTTAAACCACTCATTACTTAAACAGAAGTTTCCCTTTTCAAAGATAATGACTGTATTTCTGGAAAACACACACAGCCTCTGAGTGACCTTCGTTTAGAGAAAAGGCAAATCCCAAGATTTCTAATATCATGGTAAGAAATGTATCCTTTAAGCCACATTTATATACTGCCAGCACATAGTAGGAGACTAATAAATGCCTGCTGTATGAATGAATTTACATAATTAACTTGACTGAACTAACATCCATCAGCAATGGTCAAATTAGGAGAGACTTCTTCTATTCAGAATTCTGTTTATAATAACCATCTATGCCAGTTTTTGTGCAAACGTCACACAACAGCCACTGTGTTTTCACAACTGCCAGGAGCCTGGAATAATTACTAACCTAATGGTTTATTAAACTGCTGTCCTCATTAAAGACTCTGAGCACATCAAAAGGATGTTTTTCTAAAAAATAACCTTGGGAATCAAAGTGTAAACACAAGCACATTTTATCACTTTGGTACTTATCAAGCACTGTTTGGATGGTCTATTAGCCCCTAATGAGGGCTGGAACCATCAGTTAAAAAAGCAAATCATTAGGCTGAAAACTTAACATGTCAGCACAAGGACTTTCTCCCAACTGGCTGATCTTTCATCAACGTTTACCAAACACAATAAATAATAATTTTCACTAAAGTTCTTAGTCCAAGTGTTTCCCATTAGCTCAGGACACCAGATTTTAAACCAGATTTGTTGCCGCCCTTACAGTTAGTCTTGTCTTATCAAGGATTTTCCTCAGGAAATACGTATGGTGGGGGCTGCTGGTCTCTTTATTGCCAGTTCACATTGCTGGAGATTTCATTTCCATTCCCTTCTGCTACGTGTAGCAATGGGATTCGCTCTAAGACTGGGATGGGTGTAGAGAAAGGCAGGGATCACTTCAGAGGTGGAAAGCCCACCCAACAGTTAAGAAAGTTGAGGGCACAAAAGCCATTGGTACCTGTGGTTGCCTTGCTTCCTGGGGATCCGGAATTTGGAGCGCGGAACATCTGGGTTTGGGAGGCTGGAGGTGCACCAGAGGAGGTGCGTTGTAGAAGGGTGGAGCACCGGACTATGGAAGCTGGTGTTTTTTTGCCCGACTGGCTCGCCTGTGTCTTCACTGCCATGAAGAGTGGAGATCGAGAGAACTCTGGATGTGAACACTCAGAACTAGTGTCGGGCTCGTCAGACGGCTCCCACCCAGCGGAGGTACCTGGCAGGATCGGGTCCTCAATGTCGGCTTGCCCGAGGCTCTCCTGTGGGCTGTGCCGCCATCTTGGATTGGCAGCCTCTTATGACCATGACCTCCCCCACCAACAAACCCCCCCCAAAAGGGCAAAGAGCTGGGAACGGCTTCACCAAATTCTACCCCCTGTTCTCATTCCTTGACAAATGATAAGGATCCCTCCCCCATACCCCTTTCTATAGGGAAACCTGAGTTACTTAGAATCACTGGACCATGCCACGAAGAACTCTCTGCATACTAGCCAAGTAATTACTTTGGGGTCCGGGGGGGCAGGGGAAGGAAGAGGGAGGACAAAACCTCTGTAGATGGGGTTTTATCCCTACAGTAGTGATGAAAGGAGTGGGAAAGAAGATTTCTTAGTCAGCATGCTCAGAAACCTACAACTATTTTCCCATAACAGAGGTCAATTGAAAAGACAAAGGGCCATGGTCAGGAAGCATAATGTTGATCCCTGGTTTCTAGAACATAAGGGACTAGTAGGCACAGTCTTTGCAAAGTGGAACCAATGAGATGTGAATGACAATTCTCATAAATCCAGAGGACTCTCTGATTCTCAAAAAGCCCTATGGCAAGTACAGTCAATCCATTTCTAGGAGTTCCTAACATTCTGCTGGTTAACACAATGCTGGGCAACCAGAACTTAACATCTACACAAAACATTAATCATCTTCAAAAAGTCTCCTACGCTCTTGGCCTAGGGCTAAGGCATCTACCCTTGAGATGTGACCACCTATGAATGGATTCTCTATACTTAACAGTCTCAAAGAAAGAGAAGGAATGTGTGTCCCATAGTCCCCCATGGAAAAGACTCATCACAGGGCAGTTTCCTAAACCAACCATTACCAGGATATTCAGGCTGATATTCAACAAATCAATTCAATTAGCATTTATTAAGAACCCACTATGTGTAGGTACTAGAAAAACCAAAAATAGGCCCTGCCCTTAGAGGAAGTTACATTCTACAGGGTTGACTTGTAGATATTTAAGAGGGCTCTCTACTGATGTAATCCCTGATAACTAGAATTATTTCACAGTGTTGTTCTCTTAGGCTATTATTTAATCAGTCCACAGTATTCAGACCACACTTGAAATACTGTGTTCATTTCTGAGCATATCAGTGGAAAAAAAAACCTAGTAGGGGGTGAAAGGGAGTGGGAAGTGGTCTCCATGTATTCTAGGACTCAATATTCCTCTTTTCTGACATGACAGCTGCTCTAGTCACAAGACATTCATGCATCTAACACTTTTGGTAATACCGCTAGGTCTCCCTGATTGGGTGCTTATTAGGCATAAGGCTACTTGATACCTATGGGGAATTAAAATGTCAACATTTTCTATCTCAACTTACCTATAAAACAATCCATGTGGCCCATATTTTTTCCCATCCACAATAATGGCTAAGTTAAGTGGTGGCAAGATGATGATCACTTACAATTTTTCACAGCATCAGTCCAAGACACCTACTTTCTCTCTCATATCTGGGGTCACAAACTCTCCCAGGTGCCTTACAGGAAATACTTAGCTCCAACCTCATCCCTCTAGTGTCTACAAACTGTTAGCCTCTTTTTCTTTTTTTTTCCATGCAGAGCAGCAGCTTTACATCCCTGAGGAGGCAGATGACTAATAGCTGTCTCCTCCCTTCAGCCAGTAAGGCAGGCTTCACGGCCTTTATTTCAAAGAATCTCCAGTTCTTGTGCCTTCTAAAAGTAGACTTTGGCTCAATGAATGTCAGAGTTAGACCATAAAGATACTCTAGTCCAAATCACCCATTTTATAAATGAAGAAACCAAGGTCCCAGAAAGAAGTCACCTACAGAATTAGGATCAGAATCTAGGTCTGGGGAGAACACAAATTAAACTAGCTACAGCTTTACTGAGACGGGGGCAGAGAGGTTTGAAATCCCCTTGCTCTCACAGCTCATATCCAATTTGAGATGACTGTGGTACATGGTATAAGATGTTGGTCTAAACCTAATTTTGCCCAACTGCTTTCTAGTTTTCCCAACATTTCTTATTAAATGGAGAGTTCTGCCCCGAGTAATTTATGTTCTATTTATCTCTCAAAACAGATCATTCCTGCCCTTCAGCAACTCTGGCCCACACCCATGGGGAATGTCCTTTTCACAAGGGGGTAGGGGGGGAATCCAGCACAAAAGAGGATATGAGAAAACAATTGTGAATTTCAGAAAAAAGAAGTAGGAAAGTTACTTATAATCAGCTTAAACGGCATCTAAAAGTACTTATGAACATTCAGAAAAGGTGATGTACATGCAAACATACTCACATCCAAATAAGTGCAGAATAAATATGATGGTTATCTCTACAAATTTAAGTTCACCCAAATTTAGAAAACCAAAGGTCAATTTTTTTAGAAGTAGTAACATTAGTTCACTCAGTCCTGGGAAGTATATGAGAATATAATATTTACCATCATATCATGCTCTATAATGTTCAAAATTATTTTATACCTCTTCCTTCATTGAATCCTCCAATCCTCACAACTACCCTGTGAGGCAGGAATTATTATCCCTACTGTACAGACTAAGCTCAACTCAACAAGTTGTGGTATATGATTGTGATGGAATAATGACAAGCATGATGGTTTCAGAAAAACCTGGCAAGACTTACATGATCTGATGCAAAATGAAGTGAGCAGAACCAGGAGAGCATTGTACACAGTAACAGAAATACTGTAAGGATGATCAATTGTGAAAGACTTAACTACTCTAATCAAGACAATGATCCAAGACAATTCCAAAGGACCCATGATGAAAAATGCTATCCACCTCCAGAGAGAGAGAACTGATGAGTTCCCAGGCTAAATGCAGACTGAAGCATACTTTCTAAAACTTTTCTATTGTTTTATTTTGTTTGTGTTTTCTTTTGCAACATGGTTGATGTAGAAATATCAAATTGTTTGCCTTCTTGGGAAGAAAGAAGAAGGAGGGAAAGAGAGAGAGAATTTGGAACTCAAAAATTTTTTAAGTGACTGTTAAGTTTTTTTTACACATAATTGGGAAATATTTAACAAAATAAACAAAGATACTTTTTTAAGAAAGGAGACTAAGCCCAAAGTGGTAACATGAATTGCTTAAGGTCCACAGACCTACTCAATAAAAGATCCAATACTATCACTCATGTCTCCCCATTCCTAGTTCAGTGAACTTTTGTTTGCTTAATTAAATGGAGTTACCTACCAGCTGATATAAGCCACATATAAACTCTCCTAATCCTAAATTTAACCTTGCTTGTAGCTCCAAGCCATCAAAAAAATCTGCTTCTGTTTAGAAAGAACTCACTGCTGATTTGTACCAGAGTCCTGCTTCCCTCTAGCCAGCCCTCTTGCTTTTTCTTCTACATTCCTCCAAATTTGTCTAGGACTCATGAAACAGAGTCTTTGGTCAAACCTTTGGATTAGATATCACTTGGTAAAGCTATTTCTTGCAGTCTCTTTCTCTATCCTCAATGACAGCTGGGTTTTGTGATGGAAAGATGGAAGCCTCTAACAATTATTCAATAGTGTTGGCCCAAGCCACTTACTCCCTCTCCTTTACCTAGGACTACCAACTCTTTTCAGTTGCCTTAGAAGAAATGCTTCCTCTCTCTAGACCAGGAGTTCTCAATCTGGGGTCTCTGGATATATTTCAGGGTGTCTATGAACTTGTAGGAAAAATATTACATCTTTATCTTCACTAACCAGTAGCTACAATTTTCCATTTCCTTCAATGATGAATGTAGGCAACAATATGTCCCTAGGCTTCACCAGACTGCCAAATGGGTCCATGACAAAAGAGATTGAAAACCTATGCTCTAACCAACCTTAGAGACAATGGACAAATCACTAACATCACATGTATTTCTTTCCAGGAGATCACCATCAAACCCCAAGCCAATGAGAATTGCCTACCCTGGAATACCATCAAGAAAAGCTATTATTTGGCCATCCTGTTAAATGGAGAGTTCTGCTTGGTTCTAGATTAAGTCTCTTGTACTTATGCAACAACATACCTGAATCTTCTACTAACTGAGTCTCTATCTAGTTTTCCAGATAGGCAGGAGCACATAAGACTACTTTCTGGGCATCTCAAAAATACACAGGCTATTTCTCATGCTCCTCTGGGGAAAATATGGTATCAAAGACTTTTAGCATTTAGAGCTGGAAGGGACCTTATCTAATTTTTTCTATACCCGAAAAAGAATCCCCATTACAACACACATGACAGGTCGCTGTCTGGGCTCCACTCTCTCCAACAAGGAACCTCCCGAAGCATCTTGTTCCACTTCTGGACAGCCCTCATTGTTAGGATGCGTTCCCTGTAATCAAGCCTTAACATGCCTCTTTGCAACTTTTACTGATGGCTCCTTGTTCTGCCTTCTAGGCCAAACAGTCAAAACAAATCTTCTTTTTCATACGACAAGCTTCCAATGCTTCAAGACAGATATCATGTCTGCTTCAGTCTTCTCAATCAATAAGCATTTACTAAGTGATAGCCCATAAGTCGTAGACAAGGTACCAACTTGCTTTTGCAGAGGGAGTTCTTCCATCTGGGACTTCTCTCTAACAGTGAAATCACACGTTCAGTCCCTAGTCACATCCCTACTATGCGCCAGGCACTATGCTAGGTTCTGGGAATATGAAAATGAAACAGCCCCTGCCCTTAAGGAACTCACAGTCTATGGCACAAGACAACATGAGCATGTATACGTGTTATGTACAAAATAAACACAAGGTAATTTTTTTAGCTGAGTTCTGAAGAAAATTAGAGATTCTAATATTTAGATGTGAGAAGGGATGCACTCCATTCCCTAGGCTAACAGGTGACCTGTAGTTCCCAGTCCCTAGAGAGGAGAGAAGATGACAGATTGGGTGGGTGGTTAAATGGATAACTGACAAGGGCTAGGAGAGTAAAATTCTTTTGTGTGTGTGTGTGTGTGTGTGTGAGGAAATTGGGGTTAAGTGACTTGCCT